AATTATTATTTAGTTTAGTTTAGTTTGATAAATTATGTAGCTGTATATTTTAAATAATAGAAGGTTTTGAATTTAACCCTTTTCTTTTAATTTTTCAAATTTCTATAATCATGTATGGTGGCTTGGGAAAGAAGTATATCTTTTAGTAAAGGAGGTATTTGAAAAAATCCGTGACGCAGATTAATATTTTGATTAAAAAGCGACATTCTCTAGAAAAACTTTCCACCTAAGTATGTTACTTTCACTTATAATAGCGGTAACATTCTTTAGATGAAAGTTGTGGTTGAACTCATTTCTATAGTGATTTACTAAGCGAAGCTTAGATGTAACACAAGGCCAAAAGTCCGGAGCACCCAGTGAGGATCGAACTCACTAGTAATTTGACTAGCGAGACAAGTTTCTGTGTATGAGGAATGTATTTGATAAATTATTATGAAAAGATACATTCTGTATAAGATCTTTATATATATATATATATATATATATATATATATATATATATATATATATATATATATATATATATATATATATATATATATATATATATATATGTGTGTGTGTGTGTGTCTAAGATCCTTTATATATAGGAGGCACGGTGGAGTAGTGGATACCAGCTTGATTGAGTAATCGGAGAGCTGAGCCGATGTCCACTACTCTCTGGACAGCGGCTATGGACTGGAATTCGAATCCATTTCATGAATTCGAATTCCAGTCGAATCCATTTCATTCACTTACATGTTAATACCCTTGTTAAAAGTATTAATCCTCTTCTTCTCCCTTATGGGTAAATAGCAGGACAGTCTATGTTCTACGGCCTTGGATGGCAACTGGTCTAGGAAGGTCGTTTGGGCACGTAGTGCACCAGTTCCCTGTATTCGGGCCTTCAAAAAGTCTGGCTGGTTCCTAGGAACTGACCTACTTGACCCTCATATATCGAATACGACGGGAGAGTCCACCACAAACACACACACACGCAAACACATACACACACGTATATATGTGTGTGAGTGTGTGTGTATGTGAAAACACTGTTTGTCTATAGTTTTATAATGTGTATATGTATCGTATACGTACTTAGTAGGCAAGATAGTAAAGGAAAGCGAGAAGAAAAGGATCCCAATGTGACAACAAAGCCGTAAGGCGCATTCGAGTTGCAAAAGATAGCAAAACAAAAGTATAAAAAAATAGGAAAATTTCATAAGAAAAATGATTAACCGCTAATCTAATATCAGTCCTAATATAGGGTAGTGAATGCTAGACAATTTACTCACATATTAAGAAGAGATGTTGCAACCGAGATATGGATCTACAGAAGGATGCTGAGAATCCCATGGACTGATTACCATGTAAGTAACGAGGAAGACATTTTAGAATTAGAAAAAGATAGTTGACATTTCTGGGACACATAATGAAAAAAGAAGGCTCCGAAAATTTGACACTCATAGGACATACTGAAGACAAAGGGACAGAGGAAAACAGTACCTAGCCTCTACCAATCAAGCTTAAGTAAATTAATGACAAAAGAGGAAGTTGAAGGCATAGTAAAAAGTCAAATGATGTTATGAGCTACAAAGGATAGAAAGTTGCAGAGTACATTGCGTTCGAAGTTGTGAATAAACTGTCCGAAGTTCATATTGTCTATTTGACTACTTTCTATTATTGAAATCATTATCAAGATCCAGTGAGCTGTTTTTGTGGTAGTTTGTCTACATCCTGGTATTCTGTGGAAAGCTGGATGTTTGAAAACGTCTATGATGACTTCATGTGTAACGGTTATTGAAAAGGATGCCGCACAAAAAGATTGCGATTTATTCATTTTATTGAATTTAATTATTATTTTCTTTATTTATTTGTATTTGTTCCTATACTAATATAATATTTGTGCACATGAATTAATTAATATCATATACACATCAAGTTATTGTCTCCTCTGGTGAATGATATTTAATATGGGAATTATTATTTTTTTATTTATTTATTTGTAGTGTAACCCGGATATAAGAGAGTTGTCGGGACCGGAGAAGAAGTCTCTTATATCCGGGTTTCTCTTATATCCGGGTTTGGTCTATTTTGTTTAGGTAAGTATGGCTCTAATTTGGGACCAGAGAAAATCTCTTATATCCGGGTTTCTCTTATATCCGGGTCTCTTATATCCGGGTTACACTGTATTTTGCGTTCGGTCGTCTAACTTGGCAACTGACACCGACCAAGCAGTTATTTATTGTAATCCTAATAATGGTGATGTTACAGCTTCGTTTTTTTTTTTTTTTTATTAAAAATGCATGTATATCGGCAAATGTATAATTTTAAAACTTGTGTTTGATTCAATGACGCAAAGACAAATCATGACATCATTAAAACGCTGCTCTTCAAACTCTTGTTTATATACTAACTTCTTCTCATTAATAAATAACCACCTATTAATTGCTGTTGTTCCTAGGTCCATCCTGACCAGGGCGGGTAGCATCTATTAGGGTCCAAGCTATGGGTAAATAGAGAACGCCCCTAAACAAAAACAAAGTCCTAAGAAATAATAAAAATACATTTTTATAGTAAAAATACCAGCAATATATTTTTATATAAAATAAATAATTAACAATATATATTTATAGTAAAATTACCAACACAACGCAAATACCACCAAATTGTAGCGACTTCACCCAAATCCGTTTAAAATACTACCAGACAACGAACATGACAGAACTATTTCATGACATTAAGCCATATAACGTCCGACAATTTCTTAAATCAAACTGTATTCCAAAATATAACTTCAACAAAACAACATAAAAGACATTTTTTGATTTGCTTATTTAACGGCATATCGACACCTTATGGGTTATTTAATGCCTGAATTTAATTTTCTTGGGAGTTTTGAAGTAATAAAAATATGATATATGTTATTCTGCTTTCACAATTGAATACATGGTAGATGATACTCAGCTTTTGTGCATATACATGTTTATGTGAACATACGAGAGGCGACGATATGTGAGATTTATATTGTAGTTTTTTTATTCATGTTATATTTTTATATTACAGTTTGATTGATTTAAGTAATTGTATGATATTATATAGATTAATGTCATGAAAGAGTTCATTCAAGTTGGTTGGTTGGTTGGTTAATATTGTTTAGCGGTATATCAACACCTCTGTTTTGAACATCATTTTATGGCTTCAAATGAATATATTTTGAACGCAACTGTATGTCTGCAACTACAGATAAAATGTATTGTTGGTCATTTTGCTTTAAAATTATATTGTTTGTAATTTTACTATAAATACGTATTGTTGCTAAATTTTTTGTTTATATAAAAATGTATTTTTATACTTTCATAGTGTTTTGTTTGGAGGGTTCTCTATTTGTCCATAGCTGGGGCCCTAACAGGTGCTACCACCTCGGATCACGGTGGACCGGGGAATAACAACAGTTAAGAGGTGGTTCCACACTCCCGGATGTAGTTTATTGTCATACCCAGGACTAACATAAAACACATATTACCGCTTCTAGTAATCATGTTCACACAAACATGTATATGCATTAAAGCTGAGTATCATCTACCATGTAGTCAATTGTGAAAGCAGAGTAATATATCATATTTTTATTACTTCCAATTCTCAGGGCAATTAGATTTCGGCATTACATGACCCATAAGATGTTGAATTGCCGTTAAAGAGACAAAGCAGTCCAACTATAGTGAACGTTCATTTTATTTCAGAGCTGCCTCCTCTTAGTAAATTACCATCCTGACTGAGATAAAATAAATTTTGATTTCTTGCTCTCTATACTGTTCTACTGAACTATATTTTTTTATTAATGTTCACCCAATACAAGGCTCAAGAACCAGTCAAGATAGATGTTTATGGAATACGTAAGAGTAGGAAGTATGAGAATATGTAAGATAGAAAACGATTGACCCAAAACTTGAGGTTAAGATTGTTGTGAATTTGGGGGACTTATAAACCTGATATCTCAGTAACCATTTTTTCACAAGAGATGAGGACAACAGTAAATAGTAAATAGACAATGTAAATAGTGTAAATAGTTACAATACCTCAACTCAGTAGTATAGATAGATAGTTGCTATAACTGTTTAAAATGCCTGACATGATTGATTTTATGTAAATTTTGCTGACTCAAAAAAACAAGATTTTTAACTAAAATTTCGGACATGCTTGGAAGGATTAAAAATGTTAAAAATAATTAAAAAAATACTTTGGTCTTTCCTCTTAATAATAACATAAACATTTGGACGATCAAAAAATTATTTATGAAGTTTGGGCCTTTTTCATTCTTTTTAGCGAAGTATTGAATATACATATGTTAATAAGAGGACAAAGTGCTAAGAATCTGTGTCTGTCGAGAGTGGAAACTATCCAGTCAATGATAGTCGAGGCTTTGCCTGAAGTGCTTCAGTTAATTCCAAAGTCGAAACATTTGTACAACAAACAGAAAAACTATGAGAATTTCAAATAGAGAAATATCGAATTATCCTATTCAAAATTTCTTTCACTAACCGCTAAGTTTTGCTACAGCATTTCATTCGAATGATTTTATTTTGTTCTATTTTTTTAAAAAGCAAATATATTGCTGTTGACACAGTCAGGTAGCATTTCAACCGGCTCGTTAATTGAACAAACATTCCTATGAACCCAAGAAAAATGACGAGCTTAAATACTTAGAACCGATTAGATATTTCTGAAAAAGTGATCCAAATGTATTAAATGACGGCGAGAAATTTTAAATTAAAAAATTTGATTCATTGAAATTGAGCTCGATTCCCTTGAATGATTTTTATTGTTTAGTGTGTGTGCGCGCGCGTGTGTGTGTGTGTGTGATAACGCGTCGATGCGCAACATATTATTCATTCTAAGTGATTTTATTTTCCAAATTTTTTTAGAAGGAAAAGATTCGAATCTCCGTCAAAGAAAACGCATTAACTATGATTACTTAAATTTTTCAATATAATACAAAACTCAGTTTGACTTGGGCACACATAGATAGATAGATAGATAGATAGATAGATAGATAGATAGATAGATAGATAGTTTTTACAGCAAGGTTCACCCTTTACAAGGCCCCGGGGCCACTCGAGGTAGAGGGCTTCGTTTGGAGATTATTTTGTGTATGGTGGGGGAGTGGGTAGATAACGATTACGTCTAGTCTTGAAAATGTTAAGATTGAAGTGATCGGGTAAACATCCTGTTGAGAGCTGGTTCCACAGGGCAGTGGTTCGCGGGGGAAGCTGCTCGAGTGAAATTTACTTCTCACCGATGGGATACGGAGGGAATGTGGGTGGTTTGCTACTATGTAAGTGGCATGGCGTGTTCTTGCTGTGAACGTTTGCCTTGGCGGGACCAGGGAATGTAGTTCATCCGAGCACTTTCCGTGGAAGTGGCGGTAGTGCAGCGAGAGGCTTGCCACATACATAGATACGAACAGAATGCGATAGATAGATAGATAGATAGATAGATAGATAGATAGATAGATAGATAGATACGAACAGAAAGAGATAGATAGATAGATAGATAGATAGATAGATAGATAGATAGATAGATAGATAGATAGATAGATAGATAGATAGATAGATAGATAGATAGATAGATCAGGATAGATAGATAGATAGATAGATAGATAGATAGATAGATAGATAGAATACGAACAGAATGCGATCAGATAGAATCAGAATGATAGATAGATAGATAGATAGATAGATAGATAGATAGATAGATAGATACGAACAGAATGCGATAGTCAGATAGAATCAGAATGATAGATAGATAGATAGATAGATAGATAGATAGATAGATACGAACAGAATGCGATAGTCAGATAGAATCAGAATGATAGATAGATAGATAGATAGATAGATAGATAGATAGATAGATACGAACAGAATGCGATAGTCAGATAGAATCAGAATGATAGATAGATAGATAGATAGATAGATAGATAGATAGATAGATAGATACGAACAGAATGCGATAGTCAGATAGAATCAGAATGATAGATAGATAGATAGATAGATAGATAGATAGATAGATAGATAGATAGATAGATAGATACGAACAGAAAGCGATAGATAGATAGATAGATAGATAGATAGATAGATAGATAGATAGATAGATAGAGATAGATACGAACAGAAACAGAATAGATAGATAGATAGATAGATAGATAGATAGATAGATAGATAGATAGATACGAAAAGAATATGATAGATAAATAAAAACAAAATGAAATAGATACGAACAAAATGCAATAGATAGATAGATAGATAATGACCATTACTACTGAGTAGTGAGTTCGATCATGAGTAGACGCCCCATACTTGTGGTCTTATGCCAAACTAAGCTATTCCAAACTATTCCTTTACCCGGCCCTTGGTCTGTGCTCAATGCGTAGTATCTGCTCCAGTTCCCCTGCCAGGTTTCTGCTTTCAGAAACGCAATAAGAGAAGCCTAAATCCTCAAGATTCTATTCCATTCGCAGTACTTCCCTTATTGCACTAACCGACTGGCCAACTTTTGTCCTTGGCAAAATGTCCATATGTACACGTATGGACACAAAACATTGAACTGAACACGTCTCAAATCCTGCCGCTGTATGGGGAAGAAATGTAATATTAGTCACAATAATAAGGCGAAGCTAAAGAAAAAATGTTCACTCCTTTTTGTCAGCCATTAATGCTACGTGCCAATGAGAAGTAAAGGCATGAAACTAATTTGAACGCATGAAACACGTCCATGCCACAAAGGAAAAAGAGTAGGTGTAGCTACGCAAGTGTATTTATTCTTTTATTTAGTTTGCAATTCATTCATTCATTGTATACACACAAAATGGTATACATACACAAATGCATCATAAATGAAATCAAAAGTGTATTGCACCAACATATATATATACGCACACACAAAAATGCAGAATACATGCATACATGAAAAGACATAAATACATGGGGTGTACAAGAAAATCATACACTTAGATATAGATACAGAAGTATTTTTTTATGCACATCTATGCGTACAACTGTATTATGCACACACACCAATAATATATATATATATATATATATATATATATATATATATATATATATCAAGTATGGTGCAGTTCATACAAAAAAATCATTAACTTCTATATCTGTTTTTTGTATGAATGATTCATGTAATATATATATATATATATATATATATATATATATTATATTATTGATTGATGTGAGTTTGGATTGGTTTCACGCCTTGCGATCGTCAGGGTTTGTCTGACGATCGCTAAAGCGTGAAACCCAGGGTCACAAACTCACATCAATCCAACCAAATATGTTAGTTCTATCTCTGATATTGAGCGCTTTCTAATAAGTACCGCACATATAATAAATAATTATATATATATATATATATATATATATATATATATATATATATATATATATGAAGAAAAATTTGAAAAAACAAACAAAAATCCTTAAATGCAATTATGTTTAAAATGAATGAAATGTCGACGTCTGACGTTTCGGTTTAATAAACCTTTTTCAAGACAATATTCATTAAAATACAATTCAGTTCAATTTGACAAAGACGATGGACATAAACAACAAGTCTTATCCAAAACAGATAACTGAAAATTTTTAAAATGATCAGCTTTCCGTTTAGCATGTTCACGTTGTCGTCACATGGGCGACGCTTTCAAAACGTATTCCTAAAATTTTTTTGATTATTTTGAATGAAAAAGAAAATGAAAAGAATTCTATTAAGATCTAAATTTTTATGTGTATGCTTGTCGAGCATTAATCTCGCTAAAAAGGGGAAATATTAAAGAAAACCAGGTCTAGTATTCACCGTGCGTGAGATGGATATTATACCTGCTTCATAAATCCTCCTGAGATTTTTATTATGAAAATATTTTAATACCTTCACGGAGTCGAAATCGAAATTATGATCTGCTTTAGTTGTGTCTACAACTAAAGCATTGTTAAAATTTCCGAGGCGAATATCTCGTTTATGTTCGAAAACACGAGATTTTACGGACCTACATGTTTCACCCACATATTTTAGGTCACAGTTTTTGCATGATATTTGATAGATGCAAGCATCGGATGAAATATGTTGTCTACTGGTGCTATTTAATAAACTACGGATAGTCCTAGTAGGTAATATAGTAGTTCTAATTTTTAATGCATTTAGATTATGAGAGATACGTTCGGTCAAATGGTTATTTGGTAGAAAGATATATATATATATACACACTTTTCACACACACACACATATATATATATATATATATATATATATATATATATATATATATATATATATATATATATATCCAAGTATAGGATTAGTGTATACGGAATAAATTCCAATAACCAAAAAACTACTGTTCTTAAAAAAGAATGCTCAATTCAGAGTAGAGCAAATATAATTTATTCAAAAATTATAACATATGTTATTATAACATATTTATGTTATAATTTTTTAATAAATTATATATATATATATATAGTGTGTGTGTGTGTGTGTGTGTGTGTGTGTGTGTGTGTGTGTGTGTGTGTGTGGCCATTTTATATTTTAATTTCGCACATGAGCGTTATTTGCTTTTGATTTGTTGACTGCACAGTAAAGTAGGTTCAGATGGCACCCTCTACGAGAAAAAGAGTAACATGACGCAATTCACTCCACCAGAAACTTGGAAATGGTATGCTGTACTGTTTGGGATTCGCATACGAATATTTCATAATGTGTCAAGCTGAGGACGGTGCAGATGATTCGGAAAGAGTTGTATGAGTCTAATGGTGATTATGAATGTGCGGCAGCTCGGAAAATTCACTATGATCGTTCAGATAAGAAAAGAACTCCCAAACCTGTATTAAGAGTGTCTACTGGAAGACTCTTTGTCTGGCAACAGGACTCTGCACCATGTCACACAAGCAGGAGAACCCAGTCTTGGCTGTCAGACAGTTTCTGCGACCACATCACCCCTTACATCTGGCCACCTAACTTCCCAGACTGCAATCCCCCTTCATTATTATGTGTGGGGCGCAGGTGAGCGAGAGAACAAAAAAACTTCTTGTATTCACCAAGGAAACCATCCGGAAGAGTTGCAGGAGGTTCCGAAGTCGTCTGGAGGTCATGGTGGAAGCCAATGGCGATTTTATTGAATAAATTTATTCTTTAGTATTTCAAGATATTTTTGTGTAATTTTCGTAAATATATCTGATAAAATAAAATGTCAATGTTATTTTCATTTTTACGTAATTTAGACGACAATTTATTCATCGTGTGTAAAAGAAAATGTACTACAAAGGCGGATACAGGTTCGAACTGTGCCGGAGAGAACATTTACTTTAAATTTTCTCGATTACATAGGCTGTTCGAAATAAAAAAAAAAATTGGTCATCTAAATTCACCGAATATCGCATTAGAAGTTAATAAAAATGTCGGATTACAAATAAATCCATCAATTCTTTAGAAATATATATATATATATATATATATATATATAATTATTTTTTAAAATATGACTCCTTCGCTACATAAGCGTTCTCATGTTTCAAAAACAGGAGACAAAAACTTCCATATAATTATTAAAATTAAATTGAATTAAAGTATCAAGCTCTGTTTCATAACTCTTATGTAACGAAGGAATCACATTTTTTTAAAATATTTATAATTTAGGCTCTACTTTTGAATTGAGCACTGTTTTTTTTTTTGTTTATTTTAAATAAAAACAAAAATACTAAAGAACCTCGGATTATTTACTTAATGTGTTCTTTCCTATTTTTCTATATATTTGCACGCGCACACACACACACACACACACACATATATATATAACACAAAAAGAAAAACTATTCTTTTATTAACGGCGTGTTTCGTCGCTAAAGAATAGTTTTCCCATTTGCTTTCATTCATTTTGTCTTTTTATCCATATATTTTTATTTATGGCTGAATTTGTACACACACACACACACGTATTTGGTATAAGATGACCATTGAAAAAAATGTTAGGTTTTTGCCGACGCGTTTCGTCTTCCGATTTTTTCAGGGCAAAAATGAAATCGAAATGTTTTTGTTGTTATAGTTACATAAACCTGCGTAAACCTCTTTGTCTTTTTGGTTAATGTAAATTTCCTTTATAAATATATATATATATATATATATATATATATATATATATATATATATATATATATATAGGGCACTAATACACTTATGAGTGTGATTTTTGATCGATAAGTTTATTGTCGCTGTTTCTCTTGACTACCTTGTAACATTGTGTGTCTGTGTGTGTGTTTGTTTATCCGATAATATCTGCCGTTATCGCTTTCCAAAATCTACTTTGAACAAAGAAATGGACGCATTTTTCAGAATATCGTTAGTTTATTTAATTAAATTCTCTTTTGATAAATTTGATTGGTCAATCGTTGGACTAAACAATTCTATAAGCTATAAGCACTATTAATGAGTGCTATATATTCTTTAATTCTCATCGAACAACACTCATCATATTTATCCAATTTTCACTTTATTTTTTGTAGCTAAAATAGCTTAGGAACTTGAACTCTCCTGACGTCGTTCGCTAAAATACTGATTATTACTTGTATTCCTGGGAGCCTTCCAACAAAAATAAATAAATAATAAATAAAAAACAGCAAGAAAGAAATGCTACTGCATATTCAGTCATAAGTTACAACTGATTGCTGTCTAAAACCTTCATGGCATTTAGAATGCTTGATATCGACGAAGGAATTTTTCTTTCAAATATTTTTATGAATTATACTATCTGAAAATTCCCAATAATTCTGTTTAAATAATGGTAATAATAAACTGCAAGAATCATTGATGAATGCTTCCGCTCTTTCGTGGTCTTACGTCCACGTCACGTTGAAACATCGGTTCCCGTACAATCACTGAAGGTAAGCAACGCCGAGCCTGGTCAGTACCTAGATGAGTTACCGCTTAGGTATACCAGATGCTGTAAGCTTGGATGTGCGGTTGATGTAATATATAACGTCTCGAAATCGGAGAGTCGAGTTCGTATTCCAGCTGGGTCTGTTATATTCAATTACGCGCAAATACCCTTGAGAAAGGTATGAATTCATCCATCTATAGGTTGATTAGTAATAATAATATTTGTATCACTAACCATTATTATCCCTCCACAAAAAGAAAAAAAAATTCTTACAATCTAAAAATATTTTATGGCTTTAAATAACCTGCAAAGGGTGGCTAAGTCATAGAAAACGAATTAATATCTTTTTTTGATTTTTATTTTAATGCCATGTAGGTTGTCATGGCTCTACAAAAATTCCTTTTCTTTATCTGTGAATTTCCATGACTTCATGAAAAAGATAATGGAATTGTTTCCTGATGCCTTCTGCACAGTTTGGAATTCAGAATTTTCCTTCTCTTAGACATGTTGCCACCGAAGGCTGTTTTCTCATTCTATTCCAGATTTTCACCTGTCAGTCTTCTATAAAACACTCGTGTGTATTATTAATTTATTTTTAAGGAAAGTTTATATATTTATTACAACATCGTAAGCTAAAATGAAGAAGTGTGTTGTATTTTTACACGCACATTTTTACATTTTCTCTTAATTTAATATATGCAAAATTCAGTCGTGCATAAAACTAAAACAACATACTCATTATTTAGTTTCAGATTTTAACATATACTTTGTTTGTTTGGAGTGAACATCAGCGACATCGAAGAGAAAGAAAAAAAAATTATCGTAATAGCAGCAAAATATTTCGTCTCAGATCTGTCTATTGTGTCTATTGGCCTTCTTAAAAATATAATGAAATTTGATCAGATGATTTTCGTAAATCCCAACCGATAAAGCTAATACTGAACCATAGTTTCCTCAATGAATGATTTCTAATTCATTTCAAATAACTTTCGCTAACTTTTACACTCTTCATACAATCTTTCAAGCCTGTCGCCATTTGCAAGAAGAATATATACATGAAAACTCTTGATATTTTATTCAAGGGGAATTACTGTAAAAATAACAAAAAACAAAACTGGATATTTCAAGAAATTGAATCCTCATTACACCTGGATATTTTTCGCTTTTTTTTTTAAACTGTGTAATATTTCATTTAAATAAACTATTTTGCATTCAACGAAACATCACCCTTTGTCAAGACTGAGAAACCTATCATTTTCTTTCTTTATCTCTCCTATACTCTAAATGGTGGCCTGCTAGGTATGTGAGATTATGGTGTATTTGCTTCTGGTATGCCAACGCAGCTAAAGACTGATTTCGAATGATGATATACACTATACTGTTGAAAGATTGCTGTAATACGAAACCTTATAGTTCTACGAGCCGACATTATATACTTATAAAATCTGTATTACCTATTATCGCCCCCCTCTCTTTTTCTCTGTGTGTACACGTATTTGATTTTTTTGTGAAGACAGAATGACTGTATATATATATATATATATATATATATATATATATATATATATATATATATATATATATATATATATATATATATATATGTATATATATATATATATATATATATATATATATATATATATATATATATATATATATATATATATGTATATGTATATATATATATATATATATATGTATATATATATATATATATATATATATATATATATATATATATATATATATATATATATATATATATATATATATATATATATATATATATATATATATATATATGTATGTATATATATATATGTATATATATATATATATGTATGTATATATATATATATATATATATATATATGTATATATATATATGTATGTATATATATATATATGTATATATATATATATATATATATATATATATATATATATATATATATATATATATATATATATATATATATATATATATATATATATATATATATGTATATATATGTATATATATATATATATATATATATATGTATATATATATATATATATATATATATATATATATATATATGTATATATATATATGTATATATATATATATATATATATATATATATATATATATATATATATATATATATATATATATATATATATATATATATATATATATATGTATATATATATATATATATATATGTATATATATATATGTATATATATATATGTATATATATATATATATATATATATATATATATATATATGTATATATATATATATATATATATATATATATATATATATATATATATATATATATATATATATATAGAACCCGGTCTGTTGTTATTTAACCATAGCTTGGGGGAGAAGACGTTTTACCATTCCAAGGGTATTAGTACTATTCCTCAATCCGAGCCGCTATCCATTACTCTACTGTGCCTCCCCCACCCTATAAGAAATGCGTTCCCATGTCTACTGGATCTAAAGTCATAAAAACGAAAATATACCTATCGACAGAAATTGAATCGGCATTGCTTTTTTTTTTACGTCTGCTCAAATACTCGTGTCCACGAAATATAACGTTCCTAATGATCTAGAAATTATTTTTAAGAATCCATTAATTGCTTAAGCCTTAATATAACCCATCACAAAATTCCTCCCATCAAGAAATGAATTTGCTGTCGCTGTCAGTTTCCTACTAATAAACCAATATAGGACAATCATTAAAAACGCTGAATTTTATGAAACGTGGGTAAAAACCGGAAAATCTTACGAATAAAAAAAGAACACTTTGTGATATATCTATGTTTGTATTCAATCATTTTGAATATCTCTAGAAAACTGGTTGCACGCACTTCATGTAACTTGGCAACCAATCAGAAATTATTGCGCATGTGTGAACAGATACTTTTTCCGATGAGTTACTTAATTGACATTGAGATGCCACTGTGTGAGTTTATGTATTATATGGCCGTCACGTTCACAATGATATTTCTTTGGGCAGAAGTTTTCGTCAAAATCATTTCGGTCTATCAGAACACCTCTGTAGGATTAGCTCCACTTGGTTTGCCAAGACGCCGTTAGGTAGCGCTGTTAAACAGCCATCAAAAACGGACACTTCCTGTTTCTTCCTTTTTTTCCTTCTTCTCTTCTAGCTCACGGTAGTGACAAACCCAGAATATGTTTCATGTTGGTGACAATATCCTTTTTCCGAATAAGTGATCTGTGTGTGTGTGTGTGCGCGCGCGCGCACGCGCGTGTGGTCCAAAGTGAAGAACATTGAAGAGGATTAAAACATTTTCTTAGATTTTTTTTTTTTCCTTTTCATCAATGTCTGAATCCTTTCCGGACAGACCACATAAACAGACAACTAAGCCTTTCTCACGAGTATATTTGGCACTGCACAATCTTTCTTAAATGTCATTCTTTGAAAAAAAATGGCGACGAAAATATCCTTCTACACAATCGAACGCGCATGCGTTTGAATACTGGGAATCTTGTAGACGACTTTCGGGGTTCAAGTATTAAATCTGCGAAATAAATCAATTATTTTTAAAAAAAATGATGAAAAAATGAACAATATAAATGATTAACATAAATTTCGATTGTATTTAAAAGATAATGCCCTAACGCTAATTCGATTTAAAGGAAAAAGTAATTTCCGAATATAAAGTTTTTAGTCATTTTTAAAACATTGGCACGTTCACTCGTCATTCATTGAGTCATGAAACAGCCATTATAGACAAAAAGTATAGACAACAAATTTAAAAATCTCTTAAATATCCAATATTTACCCTCGTGACATGTTTCGATGTCATTTAGTAAATTTATGGATTAATTAACTGGATTTTGTATAAGTAATGTTTACATATTACTTAATGAACACAAAGTTTACTTACGCATGATAGCCTGCGGGGGTCAAAAGTCAAAAATTAAAAATGTTCGCCATAAATTATAAATAAAAATTAATGAAATACAGGGACCCCAGCAGCGCAATAATCAAAGCATTAGTATTTATGTTTAAAAATAAATTATCTTTAGCATTAGTCTAAGAATGTAATTTTTTTATTGTATATAATTTTATGAAAATTAGTAGAATGAATAATTTTATTTTTTATACTACATTATAAGTATTTTTAGTTAGATGATAACTTTGACTTTAAATATTGATTTTATTTTTTATTTTTATATCTGTTTAATATCATGTACCATCTATTTGCAGCGAATTAATTTTGTTAATTATTCTGAATTTAAGATCGAATTATTATATATCATACAACTCTTCCGATAGGAAAGCGTAGTCAAAGCAGTAATTCTGAATTGCAATAGCAAAAATAATGTAACAGTTTCTAAAATGAAAAAAAATATTAAAATTCCTTTAAAAAAGGTTCACACTCGAAAATGGCATTAAACTTTACATTTTCCCATTCTTTGAATAAGTCTTTATTTAATAATAATTAAAAAATAAAACTGTTGTTACGAACAGCAACGTGATGAATTTCAATATCGAACTGGAAAATTACAAGCAACTTTAAAAAAATATACATTAAGTCTTATTTTTTCTGTCCAATCTGAAAGAAAATAGCCTTTTTTTTTTATAAAAAGAAAATAACATTTTTTGTAAAAAATCGTTATGCAAGCACCAACTGTCATTAAAATGTATTTTTTGAGTTTTATTGAATTATTTTAGATAAGATTCGGGACGAATTTTCTATATTTTCACACTTGATATCGCGTAAATTCTTTAGCAATATAACATCTTAAAGGATTTTTCTTTATATAATCATTAAAACATTTGACGAAACCCAAATTAAAAAAGTACACACGAGATATCGAAAAGGGATTGGGTGAAACAGACCCTACAAAAAATATTTCTACAAAGTTTTCTAATTAAATAACTTATTCAGTATACAATTTATATGAATAAGTTCTGAAAATTCCGTTTGAATCGGATAATTCTCTGATAATTTTGGCAAATATTTTAAATCAAGGGGTAGCGAGTTTTTGAGTTTTTTCAGAAAAAAAGCATCCATTTTAAGAACTAAGTGG